TCCTATAATTTAAAGAAAAATGTCTCTACTGCTGTGCATTGCAGTGCAGCTTATAAAAACGTATTTTTGAGAAGAGAAAAAAAAACAAAAAAGTTGGACTCATGGACCTGCCCTGAACTGGCCTGTTTGAAAAGGGTCGAGTTAGGTAAGGTTCGGTTCCAACACTCAAAATCCCTCTACGCGGCCCGCCTCCACCCAGTTACATTTTAAAACAAGTAGGGTTCGGTTCCTCCAAATTTGGGCCCAGCTTAAGTTTATTTATTTTGAAATTTTGTACTAGTAGTACTACTAAGTTTGATGGCTAATGCGACAAATTAAATTCAAATGTTAAATACTTACAAGTGAAGAAGAATACCACTAGCCGTAGTACTGGGCCCCATAGTTACATTAACTTTTAAAAAGTAATTAACATTGATTTTAGTTTATTGGTTGTCGATGGACCCATGCATTAAAAAATTAAATTAAATTTATTTGATTCTTTCTTTGTTTGTTGTAAAAAAAGACTACTAGAAAGCAAAGAATCAAATGATTCAGTTGTCACATCATATGTGGCATATCTATTAGAGAACACCTAAGACCATCTCCAAAAGAGATGTCAAATTTTAAACATAAATTTAAATTTGACAGCTTATTTGGCAATTTGACAACTTATGTGGCATTTTGACATCTTTTAAAGTTTTGCTCTCCACCTGATATGTCAAATTTTAAACATAAAATAAAAATTTATATTTATTTTCTTTGCATTGGTAATTAAAAAAATTAAAAGACAATGCTTTAAACCAATAAAAAGTTAATAAAAGCATTTAATAATTAATTAAACAAATTTGAAGTTGATGTCATATTTGGCAACAAGGGAGAGAGATGTCATTCCATGTCATGCCATATCATATTTGGCTTCTCGATTGGAAAACATTATAGCTATTTTTTTTTAACCATTATTACTGATTTGGACAATTTAATATTTCTTTTGAATATGCTCTAAATGTCCTTTAATCCTATTTGACATATTGAACATCTCCTTTAGATCTTGGAGATGGTCTTATGTACCATTAATGAGGAGGGGCTTACTAAATTTATATATGTATGGACCATTTGAACCTTCCAACAAAACACACATGAAGAAGAAAAGAAAAAATAAAAAGGAAAACACCCTCATTTCCTTTACTATATATGAACTGGAAAACAGCAAATAGAATTAGGTAGGGACATTGAAAATTTTAAGGAATTGTTATTAGCATTCTAAAATTTTCATTCTACACTTCAAACTTTCTATATTAAGAAAGAAAAATACAATGTAGAATGAGATTTTTGGAGTGCCAATAACATTTTTCAAATTTTATAAATTATATAATTCAGTTTGGTTCACTATTATGTCCTTGTAGCTCAGTAATTCCGATTTCTGTACCAAAGTTTCTGGAATGTTTCAGTTTTGGTTACTGAATGATTTGGTATTATTGGTTTGGTTTTTTCAAAGTCGGGTTCAATATGATGCGATCGGGTTCCTTCTCTTTTGGTTTTTGTTTCAGCCCTACCTTGGACTGGAGTGTCCACAAATGTGCCATACCTGGACTAGATGGAAGATGATTCTTTCTCCTTATATTCCTATTTTCATCTCTTCTCTTCTTTCACAGATTGTTTTTTGTCTTCTTCTAGTTATTAAAAAATTAATACAAAACGTTGACGTGATTTAATCGTGACCGTTCAAATAAGAAGAGAGAAAAAGAAAAAGAGATTAGAAGGGAAGAAAATCCTACTTTCTAATTGAAAGGGTAGATACATGATTTTCAAGATCTCCTTTTCCAAGAATGTTTGCCAATTTGTCCAGGATTTGCTAATATCGGAAGCTGCTGCGATTCAAAGTTGTGTCCCCGAAAGGTTGAAGTTGCCATTTTACGAAATCTGCGGCTTTTATTAGGTAGTTGGAACCTTCTCAAATGCACGTCACCGTTATCAAATTAAAACGTCAATTTATTATAAATCGACCTAACAACGACATGCTGCCTCTATGGACTCATGCAACGATGTCTGATCAAGAAAAGAAAAATACTTTCATGAAACGAATTTATTTTTTCTTGTTGGATCTCACTTCACTAATTTGAAGTTATGCCCAATACTATCTTTAAAATTGAATGGAAACACGATTCCCAACGAAGACATGTTAAACGATTGTTGTGCAGATAGGCAGTGTCTGTGATTTCTAACCGTTGGATGTTTGTATTGCACAATATTTTATAATATTACCATAAAAATTTACATTGAAATGTGAGATATGTTCATGAAGAGTTTTATTTTAAGAAAGTCTAATTAGTATTTCTCAAGTTGATTTATTGCTGTTTTTGTCTGATTTTGAAGGGCTTAGAGCTTGTGATTGCATGCAACGCGGTGAACAGATCAGAGACTGGTGGGACCGTTACATGTGGGAGCAGGCTGGAGAGGTTGGGAGGACTGTTGCATGAGGAGGACTGGACTGGAGGAGTTCGACCCACGGATCGATGTGGCCAGTTTTAATCTTATGGACACCAAAGAAGCTGTGGACGAATTTCAATCAAGACATTCTTCTTCCCAGTTTTGTTAAAAAGAGTAATATTATAAGCATTAACATCCAACCGTAGCAACATATGAAAGTCGCTTGTCACTCTGTGTTTACAAAAAGCTAATTATGTGAGTGGCCGACGACGACTCTTCTTTATTGCTACTGTTGGATTTATCGAACTTTTTAATACGCAAATTAGCGTTTAATGTGAGTTACTGTACTTAATAATGCTAGCTGATTTGTTGTATGTTATGATTCAACTCCAAACTACATGAGAACCAGCGGTAAACACAGAAAAAGTGAGGTTCCATTTTAGTAAGCTCTTTCATTAATTCATGCAATTTGCTTGCAGCGCTATTCTTCGTGGCTCAAATGATGACACACCTGTGAAACACAGGAAAAGTGGGGTTCCGTTTTAGAGTTTCAGTTGTTTACATGGTGGGATTTGATACCTGATTTAGCAGAGGCAACGTATAATAAAAACTACGTTGGACTTCCCTTTTTTCGTTTGAGATAATTTTTTTTAATATAGTTGGTAGATTGTCGCTTGGTTCCAGTGCTTTTTAAATTTTGTTTTAGAGACGTCTAAGTTTTTGTTTTCTCTTAATTTCTTGTGTTATGAGATGTAAGATTTTTGTACCATAAAAAGCTTATATAGCTTTCCCAGCAATTGGACAAATTCTACCGTCCGTCCTCCGGACTACCTAAATCCTACGGCACACACAAAAACCACGCCTACTTATCAGCCTGACTGTGCCCAGCTTTTGGAGAAATTTTTCAATGTAACTGGAATACGGATGTGTTAATATACAAATTGTGGAATATGTGTGTTAAAAATTTAATAACTTAAAAAATAAATGTTCTCATTACTTGTATAAAAACACATGGTATATCATTCGTATTTTTATCGCAATGAAAATTTTCTCTAGCTTTGGTCCCACGCTCCTCACTTTCCTCCTTTTATGGGTTCGAACAGAACTACAGAAGACTCTCTCCCGCAATTTTGATGAATGTAGCTGTATTGCTTTCATTTCTTGGTGGTGATTAACTTAATTTAAAGACCGGTTAAAAACACAATTGCTTTTTGAGATTTTTCATGTTTTCACAAAAACTTCTCAGATTTAAAACATTACACTCAGAGTTAGACTTGAAAGAGTGAAAGTGGTGCCACCCGATTGAACAGCTCCCGGTTTTATTTTTCTTCCTGCTCGTAAAAATAATATATAAATATTTGTTATATACAATTCATTATATGCCCCTTGCAGTTTGATGGCTTCCGCTTTCTACAATGCATTTACAGTTTCGAGGCTTACGTTTAACTTTCGCATAGGACTTCTAAAATTTCAGAACTGGCCTGTATTTACACTAATGCTCCATGGAGTTTTAATTCACTTCCACATAATCCTTCAAGGACAAATTAACCCTTTTAATTAATTATCTAAAAACAAAATCTTTTACAATAGAAAAAATTTAATATTACATTAAACATTTAAGGAAACAAATAAACCCTAGCCATGCATCTTCTTCTTCCCCTCCTATATTTGTTTTCCAACAACCATATCTCTCTCAATTTCTTTTTTGGTTCTCATGTACCATCTGCTGTTGAGCCAAATACATAAAGATAACTGAAAACAATGAAACTAAAATAATTTGGATTATCACGGTTTGCATAGAAGAATTGTAGCCTTGTTTTTTTGTTTGAATTAAAATATTAATTTGATTTTTTTTTCTGTTTATTTATAAAAGTTCTTTTTTATTTTAAATAATTACCTACAAGGGTAAACTTGTCCTTGAAGTATTATGTGAAACTGAATTAAAAACTCAGAAGAAGACGCTAGTATAATGTTTTAAATCCGAGGAATTTTCGTAAAAACACACAAAAAACCTCAAAGAATGTTTGGAGTTTTGATTAGTGTAACTTTTGGAGCTGGTTTTGAGTTTGAAATAGACTACACATATATACCTACTGTTGTGTCATGTCATGCATAATTTGTTGGAATGTTGAATTGAATCGGCCAATAGCCAAATGTGGCAAATATTTCTTCCACCAAAAGCTTTGATTTCCTAATTAACAAGTAGAGGCGCAATGGTTGAAATGGTCGCCCCAATTAACGAGTAGTGCCAGCAGCTGGCCTTCCACATAATGTTTCTGCAGGGAAATACATATTCTTTGTAGTTATAAGTCTCATATATATATTGGAGAATGATATAGACAAGTTCCAACCCATTCAACTGATCACAACTCTTGCATATTACACCTTCCAAGCCAAATGTATTTATATATATATATATATGTTATTAAATATAATATTTATACTAAATTGTTGCAACATTTTATGTGACAAATGATGCATACAACTATTATATACTGAATAAATTCATTAATTGACGACGTGACATTTTATACATCCCTTGTTACATGATTTGGTAAAAATGTGGTCTCCCTTATTTGTTTTCATCAATGGACTCAATACTTGATAAGGATTTGATCTGCATGCTCTTGCACCACCTTCCAAGCCAAGGCAACGTGGTGTTCCTCAGTCAAAGTTGCACCAACTGCAAAACGTAACATGTACAAACCTCCAACCACACCATGAGTCATGTACACATGACCTGACCCATTGATGGACTCCAGCAACTTGCGATTCACCTCGTTGATAATTACACTATATTCATCACCATTAGCATCATAGCAATAATCCCTCTTACCATTCTGATCACTTGAAGCATTGTTGTTAATCGCAGCCGGTGAAACCCTAAAACAAACCAAGGAGAAATTCCTAGGAGCTACAATCTCAAACCTTTTATCCATCCCCACAAGCCCTTCAAAAATCTTGGCCATTTTTACGTGACTTCTAAGAAAGTTTCTAAGGTTCGCCACCCCATAGCTTCTAAGCACAAGCCATAGCTTCATGGACCGAAACCTCCGGCTCAAGGCTAGTTGCCAGTCTTTGTAGTCCACCACCTGCTTCGATTCTGTGGCCTTGTTCCTTAAAAACTCAGGATACGTTGAGAGTGAACTTACCAACGCGTTGGGATTCTTAACCCAAAGGCAGCAACAGTCGAGAGTGGTGAAGAACCATTTATGCGCGTTCAGACTAAACGAATCTGCACCCTCGACGCCATCAAGGAAATGTCGAAACTCAGGACAAATGCAAGCACTCCCGGCATATGCCGCGTCCACATGAACCCACATGCCATAATCTCCCGCTACGCTGCAGAGTGGCCGCAATGGATCAACAGTAGAAATCGCGGTTGTTCCCAGTGTGGCACATAGAAACAATGGGACAAGCCCAGCTTCTATGTCTGAATGAATGGTCACTTTTAGAGACTCGGGTGAAAGCGCAAATGATGTAGATCTTGTTGTCTCTATGGTACGAAAATTCTCAGGGTGAATTCCAACAATTTGGGAAGCTTTTTGAAGTGCGCTATGTGTTTGATCGGATCCATACACAACTAGCTTCCCAATGTTTTCTCTACCAATTTTGCGTAGCTTTTGATCCCTGGCAGCTACCATTGCACAAACAAGGGCCTCACAAGTTGTCCCTTGTATCACACCACCACCATTGCCGGAGAAAAGGAAAGACTTGGGAAGTTCGAGCATATTTCCAAACCAATCCATGACTATGCTTTCAAGCTCAGTAGCAGCTGGCGATGAGATCCAGTTGAATCCCACAACATTGAATCCGGAGCTAAGCATTTCTTCGAGGAACCCCGCAACGCTACCACTGGAAGGAAAGTAGGCAAAGTAGTTAGGGCTTTGCCAATGAGTTATGCCAGGGACAATATGGTCTTGAACATCTTGGAGGATGGTTTCAAGGGGTTCAGGGTTGTATGGGGCGGAATCTGGCAAGCGTTTTTTGAGGTAGCCTGGTTGGACTTGGCTTAGAACTGGGTATTTCTCTATGGATTTGTAATAATCTGCAATGAAGTCTATGACCAAGTGGCCTTGCCTCCTGAACTCCTCAGGATCTAGAGGGTTTGTGGATAAGTTGGAAGAATTGTTTTCTTGTGAATTGAGGCTACCCATTTGGAATTTGGAAGAGTTGAAGTGGGTGTTGATGAGTTGAGTTCCACTTGAGAAGAATGCGTAGCTTATATAGGAGTTTGGCGTGGAATTCCCATATGTACTTGAGCTCAAATGCACACGTTGGATCCCTCTCCACCATTCGAATAGAATTTAGGGAGTTTTTATGAAAATAGTTTTGGTTAAGTTTATTTTAATAAAAAATCATGCTATAACTTTATTTATTGAAAAATTCTTAAATTTTAATAAAATGAACAAAAGAATTTAAATTTTAATGAAAATTACACAATTTTAATATAAAAAAAAATTACAAGGAAAAAAAACCTGATGCGTGGGACCTGTGCATCCATTACAAATATTGTTTATGAAACTGAACGCTATTTATGAATTGAACACTATTTATGAAACTGAAATACTTTTTATAAAACTGAACGTTATTTATAAAATTGAACGGTATTACATTATTTATTGATCCAGTTTCATAAATAGTATTTAGTTCTTGGTCATGTTTCATAAATAGTACCTAGCTATTGGATCCTGTTTCATAAATAGTGTATAATAAGGGAACTGTTATTAGCACTCTAAAAATCTCATTCTACACTCCTCATAAATGTATTTTTCTTTCTACTTATAGAAAGTTTGGAGTGTCAAATGAGATTTTTGAAGTGCTAATAACAATTCCCTATAGTAATTGGTACACTTTCATAAATAGTGTCTCTTTCTTAGTCTGGTTTCATAAATAGTATCTAGTTATTGGTCCACTTTCATAAATAGTGCCTAGTTCTTGGTCATGCTTCATAAATAGTGTTTAGTTCTTGGTCCAGTTTTATAAATAATGCATAGTCCAGTTTCATAAATATTTTTCCCCTATTGGTTTAGTTTTAGAAATAGTGTCTAATTCTTGGTTTCGTTTCATAAATTGTGTCTAATTCTTGGTCCAGTTTCATAAATAGTGTATAGTCCAGTTTCATAAATAGAGTATAGTCTAGTTTCATAAATATTTTCCACCTATTGCTTTAGTTTTAGAAATAGTGTCTAATTCTTGGTTTCGTTTCATAAATAGTGTCAACTTATTGGTCCAGTTTCATAAATAGTGTCTACTTATTGGTCAAGTTTTATAAATAGGGCCTAATTCTTGGTTCAGTACTTCAGTTCCATAAGGTTTGAAATTTAGACCCTTTTTGGTCTGTAAAAGCACCAATTGCGCAGAACAAGATGAAAACCTCGAGAAGATTATGTCCTCAGTAATTATATTTAAAAAGTTGTTTTCAATTACCAAATTAAAATTCCTTCACATTTTTTACTTACATACAATAATTAAATGTAGCTCTCCATCCAATTTCTTTAGCTTGGGTGTCATCTTGAAGAAAATTTTCCTTATGCCCGTAACACAAGTAGTGCACCACGTGTTATTATGTAAGTGGTGGGATTTTTTATGTTATTAATTTTTTAACACAAGAATCTCACCACTTTTATAGAGACACGTGGTATAATATCTCATATTCTGGGCATATTGAAAAATCTCTCATCATCTTGACTATTATTGGGAAACAATACCACAAAAATAAAACTAAAAAATGTAATTCAATTAAAAAAATATCTCGTCATCTTGACCAATTCTTATTATTTCCTAATAAAAAAGTTCACAACTCTTAAAAATACAATTAAAAAACTGGATGAAAAGATGCAAAAATTAAAAAGACGCAATACGTCGCCAAGAATCAAACGTGGGCTGTACAGCTACAACAACAAACTCTCAGCCTCAGCCACCAAAGCAAAACATAAGATTTTTGAAAATATTGGTTCTAATTCCACTATTTTATTGATTATTGTTTTAAAAGAATAAAATAAATAATTTGCATTGATATTTGACCAAACAAGTAAATAGGGACTTATATATAAGTAGAAAAAAAATATCTTATTAAAATTGAAAAAAAAAAAAAAAGAACACTTGAATAAGTAAATTAAAAAAAAAACTCAAATTCTTTGCGTAAAAGTATTTCATTATATATACTAATTATTTATGCAAAAATCATTAAAATCGCCAAAAAAAAAAAAAACTAAATTGATTTTGCAAAGTTCTAAACTAGTTCTGTAAAAAATACTAACTAAATCTACAAAAAGTACTGGTTCTGCAAAAAAAATATTAAACTGATTTTACAAGAAGTACTGAACTATTTCTACAAGAAGTACAAAGTAGTATTGAAAAAATACCAAACTGATTTTACAAAAAAGTACAAAACTATTTCTACAAAAAATACCATATTTTAGCAAAAAAATACTAAATTAATTCTGCAAAAACACTAAATTAGTTCTACAAAAAGTACTAAATAGTTTCACAAAAAGTACTAAAGTAGAATTGCAGAAAGTAATAAACTATTTATACAAAAAGTACCAAATATGGCAAATACCTCTAAACTAGGGTTGGAAAAAGTACTAAAGTATTTCGACAAAAGGTACCAAATTATTTCGCAAAAAGTTCTAAATAGTTACAAAAAAAAAATACTAAACTGGTTATGCAAAAATACTAAATTGATTTTGCAAAAAATACTAAACTATTTCTACAAAATACCAAATAATTTTGCAAAAAAGTACTAATTTGTTTCACAAAAAGCACTAAACAGAATCTGCAAAAATTATTGAATTATTTCTGCAAAAAGTACTAAATAGTTTAAACTAATTCTGTAAAAAAATTCTAAACTAATTTTGCAAAAATTACTAAGCTATTTCTACAAAATGTACCGAATAGTTTCGCAAAATGTATTAATCCGTTTCACAAAAGGTACTAAGCTAGTTATGCAAAAAGTACTAATAGTTTCACAAAATATACTGTGACGACCCGTCCTTAATTTTCTATGTGATTTCTCTCCGAGTATGTGAATTGACTATTATGCCTTTAGACCAACTCCAATGGTGGGCTAAAAGCCAAATTACCCCCCAAAATTTCCCCCCAAACGCACTCCAACCCAAGGGGAAATTTTGAGCTAAATGCTAAATGCTAAACCAATGCCAAATTCCCCCCGAAATTTAGCCCAGAAATCGGGGTGGACTCTAGCCAATATTTATCGGAATTTAAATTTTTTTAGATTAAAATGTACATAAAATTAATTTACGATAGTCTACATATTTATTTTTTTTTTAAAAATTAATTTAACAAAAAAAATAGCCTAAATTCATTCTTTAATAATCCCGGGCTAAAATTTTAAGGTAGAATGATTGGAGTAGAAAAGCTGTTTTTGGGCTAAAAAATTTGACTTTTAGCCCAACCATTGGAGATGGTCTTAGAGGCAAGTGACGTGGACGTGTTTATTTCTCTCTCAATTTATTCTCGCTTCCGTAATGAATTTGTACACACTGTTATGAGTGTACATGAATTTTTATCAAAGTAAAAACACTATTACAGATAGATTTCAATTTTCTTTTACTGTAGGAAACCTGAAACCCTATCCCTTGTTTTCTTTAAATCTACCCGTGCCCTCTCCTCTTTTTCTTCACTCACCAATCAACTCCTTCAAATCTCTCACCAATCCCATCTTTTACCTCTACACGGCACCCAATCAGAAAAGCAAGAAAATATCTCACCAATCCCATCGTTTCCCCCTCTTTCTTGTAGTCATTTTCTTCAAATTTCAGAATCGAGTATGCTCATGGAACACGTGATTCAAATAATAACACTTGATTCAAGGACAATCTTGAAATACAGAATAATATTACAACATAAACGAAATGTGTATCATGCAGTACATATTTTAGGTCTCGTACATTTTTCATATTACAAGAGTTTATTTTAGATTAACGATCAAGGAAACTCGAGATCTTGCAAAATTAAAAAGAAAAAAAGACATGTGATATGTATGTATATATGCACTGCTTATAAAATTTAAATGAAAGAGAAGTGAGGACCCTAGGAATCAATTGATCTGACCGTTCACTAAAGATCCATGACTCAAATCTTTCAATTTTCAAGGTAAAATTCCTTAGGCCTCATTTTTTTCTCTTTGTTGGAAGAGTTGCCTAATCGAAGGCCTGAGATGCAGCTACCCCAATCCAAACTTCCTGCAGGCTTGCCTCAGCTCATCAATGGTGATGAACCCACTTTCGTCCTTGTCGAAAAACGAGAACGCCGACAGCAGATTTTCTACCCTCTCCAGAGTCCAGATTGTTAATTAATTAGTGCACCGTCGCCGCCAGAAACTCGCTGTAGTCGATCGTCCCGTAGTTGTCAATGCCAACTCCTCCATGAGATCCTTGATCTCAGACTCCATTAGCTCAGAACCGAAGTCTAAGTGATTCCTCGGTTGAGATTTTCCAAAAAAATCCCATTTTTGTCTGGGAAATTAGAGCAGAATCGGTGAGAAATATAACAGTGAATAAAAGGTGGAATAAAAAAGGATGGGTTCTTTTTCTTCCCTTTTTGTGATGAAAACAGGAGGCTGGCAGGGAATAAACATGGAAATCAGTGGGAAAGTGAGAAGAAAAAGATGAAGGGAAGAGAGACCTCAATCCGGGGTATGGTTTTGGCCCTGGGTGGTGTGTTATCATTTAAAGAGGGGGAGGAGTGAAGAGGGAAAGATTGCGCATTCCTGGCTACGCAATTTGATTAAATGGTTATGATTTTAGGATCCCGAGGTTTCGGATAAAAAGATTTGGAGATGATTTTTTTTTTTAAAGAAAACTAATTAAAAGAGTTTGAAAATTTTGAGTTTTAACGATAATAACAAAATAAAGGGTAAATTGAATAGTACCAAGATTAACTTTTTAGTGTAAAAATGTGGTTTTTCATTAAAGTGAACAGTACCGGGAGCTTTTCGTTAAAATTTTTTTTTTTTTTTTAATTATAAGAAACGATATAATGGTATTTCATTGATTTTTACAAATAATTACAGAGGTTGTCAATTAGGTACAATAACTTCAATAACCAAGAAATTGATTTGAAATGAATTTGCATAGCAAAACAACCAACAGTTGGAGAGGATCTTAATCCCTCCATTGACTTTCCAATTAACGAGTAAATGCGCA